TCATAATGCCCATACCTTGTTCTGAAGGCAGTCTTATGTTGGTCTTCCGGCTGAACTTCAATTTGATGGTAGCCGGATTTTAGATCAATCTTTGAGAATACTCTGCTTCCCTGCACGCGATCCAGCAGATCGTCTATTCGCGGTAATGGTTCAACATTTTTCACTTTTATATCATTTAACCTCCTATAATCTATACACATGCGAACRCCGCCGTCCTTTTTAGGCACAAAGAGCACGGGCGCACCATAGGGTGAGGAGCTAGGTCTTATCCAACCATTTTTCAACAACTCATCGAGTTGGGTTCGCAGTTCATCCAATTTCTGTGGTGACATACGATAGATAGGCCCCTTCGGGGGCGCGCTCCCTGGAATGATATCAATGCGGTGGCGGATTGGTCTTTCCACCACACCGCTTGGGGCTGGGGCTTCAGCCACATCTACGAACTCTTTCAGGATCCTCTCAATCTCTTGGGACCTGACTTTTTCCTTTGTTTCTCCTTCCTTTACTGAGCGCACATATGCAACAAAGACTTGGTCATACAAGTTATGTTTCTTAACATGTCGAGCGAACGCTGGGGCACTCATACAACAGTGAGCTAGGCTGCTTTCCTTTCCAGATTCATGATAGAGGCGGATTTTCTTCTTACCTCCTTGCGGACTTGGAAGCCAACATTCATGTTCCCTTAACTTTAGATCCGCATGTGCAGCCTCACCCCAATTCATTCCTAGCAACACATCAAAGGGCAAGTTATCCTCCACCAAGAAGGTCAGAGAGTGGAGAACGCGTTCCACCTTTCCCTCTGCCTCTAGCCGAAAGTATACTTGTACTCCCTCGATGTATCGATCCATGACAGTTTCACTACTATTCGCCAACTTACTTACAATGGGCTCATCTAACTTCTTAACCTTCAACCCAAGACGCAGTTTCTGCAAACCTCTTTTACTAATATAACTGCGTATAGACCCGCTATCTATCATGCCTCCTACTCTTATTTGATTTATCTCTAGATCTGCAATTATTAGTTGTCCTTTCTTTTTACGCATTTCAGTCCAGGCTTGGCGACGAGCGGCCAACTCATCACCCACGCCAGCGAGGGATCCATCTAGAGAGATGCATACATTTGCCACCTCTGGACA